GCTCTTGATGGGGTTACACTTCCTCTGGAGGAGCAGGTTCGTAGCTTGGGGGTAATCCTGGATCCTTTGCTGTTGCTCGAGGCTCAGATGGCCTGGAGTGCCTTCCATCACCTTTGGCTGGTAGCCCAGCTACACCCCTATGTGGACAAGGATAGCCTATCTACCATTGTCTATGCTCCGGGAACTTCAAGGTTAGATATAGATATGTGTTATACGTAGGGCTGCCTCTGAAGATAGTTTGGAAACTTCAGCTAGTGCAGAATTCAGCAGCCAGGTTGCTCACTGGAGTAAGACGGTTTGAGCATATTACCCCCATCCTGGTCCGACTGCACTGGCTAGCCATTAGTTTCCGGGCCTGCAATTGCACATGGTGCTGGTTTGACCATATAAAGCGTTAGCATGGCTCAGGATGCACAATACTGCCAAGGGCTGCTTCTTTCCATATGAGACCTAGGCCGGAATCGCTGAGGTCCTCCTTCGTGGGCCTCCTCCTCAAGTGGGGCCGGAGGGTGGCAACACGAGAACAGGGCCCGTTCTCTGCAGTGGCTCCCTGGTCTGGGCTCTCCCCAGGGAAGTTCAGCCCTGGCGCCTTCCTTATCCTCCCCATGAATCAGAGCATGCCTTGGAAACTCACTTTCCTCTCAAAGCTTCTCCTGTTTTATGTCCATGGAGCTTCATGGCATAATACTGGAGTGGGTTGCCAGTTTCTTCTCCAGGTGGATCACATTTAGTCTAAACTCTCGGCTGACCTGTCTGTCTTAGGTGGCCCTGCATGGCATAGGTCATAGCCGAGTTATTCAAGCCCCTTCGCCACGACAAGGCAGTGATCCATGAAGGGGTTTACACCTTTAGGTGGCATGCAAACATGTTCCTTTTTAACCAGGCTTTTGCTTGATATGTTTGACATCCTATAGTCTTTTTCAAACGTGGCTCTTTTTTTGGGGGGGGTGTTATTGGGTTTGGGTTTTATTCTGATATATATGATGTGATCTTTTCTGTGAACCACGCTGAGTCCTCCGGGTATAGGGCGGTATATAAACTCAATAAATAATAATACCATATTAATACTTTCATTATTTGTACCCCACTGATGTCACTGGGTTGCCCCATCCACTCTAGCTGCTTCTAACAATATAAAAGCATAATAAAACATTTAAAACTTCCCTCTACATGGCTGCCTCCAATTGTCTTCTAAAGTTGCATAGTTATTTTTTTTGACAACTGACAGGAGGGCGTTCCGCAGGGTGGGCACCACTACCAAGAAGGCCCTCCGCCTCGGTCCCTGTAACTTCCATTCTCACAGTGAAGGAACTGCCACAAGGCCCTTGGAACCTGGATCTCTGTGTCCTGACTGAATGATTGGGGTGAAGACGCTCCTTTAGCATTTCATCAGTTTGCCTTTTTATTCCATCAGGAGATGTTGAAGGGATGCTGGCAGAAGGGGAACAATCAGAAGTGTCACCGAAAGGATCCAAAGAACAAGGGAAGCTGAGGGTTCAAGATGGAGGCAGCAGGCGAGAGGGAGACGAAGGCAGAAGCCGGCGGGTGACTCTGGTACGTCTCAGGGTGGTGAAAACCAAATTGCCAGAGAGGAGATAAAGCATGAATGCACCGTGTGTGGAAAGAGATTGGGTAGTCACTCAACTCTTACTTTACATCAAAGAGTGCACACAGGAGAGAAACCATATATATGTTCTGAGTGTGGAAAGAGCTTCAGTCATAGTTGCTCCCTTAAGTCGCATCAAAGACTCAATACAGGAGAGAAACCGTAATACATGTTCAGAGTGTGGAAAGAGCTTTATTTGGAGGAGGGAGCCTTATGTTACATCAACAAACTCATACAGGGGAGAAACCATATAAATGTTTGGAGTGTGGAAAAGAGCTTCAGTGAAAGTTATTCCCTCACCTTGCATCTACGAACTCATACAGGAGAGAAACCGTATGCATGTTCAGAATGCGGAAAGAGCTTTATTTATAGTAACAGCCTTAGGTTGCATCAAAGAACTCATACAGGGGAGAAACCGTATACATGTTCAGAGTGTGGAAGGAGCTTCAGTCAGAATAGTTCCCTTTCCTCGCATCAAAGAACTCATATAGGGGAGAAACCGTATACATGTTCAGAGTGTGGAAGGAGCTTCAGTCGGATTAGCACCCTTAAGTCGCATCAAAGAACTCATACAGGGGAGAAACCGCATACGTGTTTGGAGTGTGGAATGAGCTTCGCTCGCAGCAATGGGCTTACTAGACATCAACAAACTCATCGAGGCAGCAAACCTTATAAATGCAGGGAATGTGGCAAGAGCTTCAGTCGCATCGACTACCTTTCCTCGCATGAAAGAATTCATACAGGGGAGAAACGATATACATGTTTGGAGTGTGGAAAGAGCTTCAGCCAGAGTGGCAGCCTTACCTTGCATCAAAGATTGCACACAGGAGAGAAACCTTATAAATGTTTCGAGTGTGGGAAGAGCTTCAGTCGTGGTAGCTTACTTACATTGCATCAACGAACTCATACAGGACAGAAACCGTATACATGTTCAGAGTGTGGAAAGAGCTTCAGTGACAATGGTGCCCTTACCTCGCATCAAAGATCTCATACAGGGGAAAAACCGTATACATGTTCAGAGTGTGGAATGAGCTTCAGTCAGGGTAGCTCACTTAAGTCGCATCAAAGAACTCATACAGGGGAGAAACCGTATACATGTTCGGCGTGTGGAAGGAGCTTCAGTCGGAGTAGCCACCTTAAGTCGCATCAAAGAACTCATACAGGGGAGAAACCGTACACATGTTCGGAGTGTGGAAGGAGCTTCCGTCAGAGTAGCCACCTTAAGTCGCATCAAAGAACTCATACAGGGAGGAAATCTTAGAAATTTTTGGCGTATGGAAAGAACTTCAGTGGCAGGGGCTCCCTTCCTAAACAATAAAGAACTCGTACAAGGGAAACATCTTAGAAAGGGTTGGAGTGTGGGAAGATCTTTAATCATATCAAATAACTCCTACAGAGAGTAAACCAATGATCGTGTTCTGGTCACCCCAGGACAGCCATTATTGGAGTGGAAGAACTTTCTGACAGTAAGAGCTGTTTTGACAATGGAACAGTCTCCCTCGGGAGGTGGCAGGCTCTCCTTCCTTGGAGGTTTTTAAGCAGAGGTGGGATGGCCTTCTGCTATGGATGCTTTAGCCGAGATTACTTCATTGCTGGGGGTTGGACTAGATGACCCTTGGGGTCCCTTATAACTACAGTTCTGTGATTCTATATACAGCAGAACCATCATCTGATAGACAACTGTTGTCAGAGGCTTGGCAAATCCGGAGATATACTTGATCATCAGATAATGCCAATATTATTCACTTGGACTGTGCTGTTTGAATCCATGTACAATTCTAGGTGCCCATTCTATAGTTTTGCTTTTCATATCCTAATTTTCATCTGCTGTTATATGTAGCGTTCCCAAAGCAAGGAAGGATTGGACTCTGATTAATAAAATACACACGTGGATTGACCAGCAAGACTCTGGGAGGAGTGCGTATAATAATTCCCTACCCCTTGGCCCAGGTCGTTTTATTCACAAAAGAACTTTGTACACAGTGTTCGTAAGAACCAATCAGATTTCCTCTGAGCATTTCAAAAAACCCCATGTGGGACAAAGTTAGATCAGTAAAGGAAAGAAGGGTGGTATTCACCATCTCTTTGTGAACTCTCTTCCTGGCCCTAAGAGCTATCTAAAGATTAACAAACTACATCAAAGTAACCTATTAACTTTCTGGCCTAGGATGCCTGGTGCAGCAACTGGTCTGTGTCCTAGAATGCTTATACAGGTTTGTCAGACATAGAGAAATGGCAGTAGAGAAAAAGGGCATAGGTGCAGAGGCTTGTGGGATTTGATCAGAAATTATTGTCAATGAATCAAACCCAGTCAACGCAGTGCTTTCATTGCGGACACAATGGCTTGATGCATATCATTCCTCATAGTAATCCCATCTGATCACTATAGTTATAGCTGCTATCTCTGTTTCATGTACATCATAAAATGAAACAGAAAAAGCTTTACAAAGTCCAATCAAAGGCGACTATGGGGTTGTAGCTCTCATCTTGCTTTCAGGCCGAGGGAGCTGGTGTTTGTCCGCAGACAGCTTTCTGGGTCATGTGGCTAGCAGGACTAAACCGCTTCTGGCGCAATGGAACACCGTGATGGAAACCAGAACTCGTGCCTTCCCGCCACTGTGGTACCTATTTACCTACTTGCACTGGCGTGCTTTCGAACTGCTAGGTTGGCAAGAGCTGGGAGAGAGCAACAGGAGCTCACTCCGTCGCACAGATTCAAACCGCCAACCTTGCCATCAGCAAGCCCAAGAGGCTTAGTGGTTTAGACCACAGTGCCATCCACCTCAGGCTTGTGGGAGGAAACTACTGCCAGCATAGAACAGCCTGCTAGTGGGATTGGCACTTGCTACCAATCTGCTACTGGGCTGAGTTCAAGGAGTTTGTACTCGCATGCAAGTCCCTGTTCTGCTCAGTCCCAGATATACAGCAGAGATTCTCCTGCAAGTTCCAAAGATCTCCAAAGCACACACCCAGAATGGGGCTTTTAGTGTCACTGTTTGTGTTCTGTGGAATGGCATCCCTTTCGGGGGGGGCGGGAATTGGGACCTTTTTCAGCTGGATAAATAGATTTTAATAATGGGTGTCCACTTGTTACGGTTTTAGTCTTATTTTTATTTGTTGCCTTTGTGTATATAACTGCTTTTTAAAACATTTTTTGTATAAATTGCCTTGAGACGGTGGTTTAGCAGGCAATCAATTATTTTGTAAAAATATTTTTAAAATACTTTTCACGTAAAATACATTTCACTAATTTTACAATCATTTTGATATTTCAAGGTTTGACTTTCTTCCCCCTCTCTGCAGTTCCTCAAATTTATTTTTAATATCTTCTGCATATCCAAATTAACTTAATTTGCTCATTTATTCATCTTCTTTAAATATATACTCATATGAAACTGCAGGTTATTACAATAATCCTACCAATGTTTTTATCTGTTTACCAATTATCTGTAAATATTCAATAAACCATTTCCATTCTTTTATTTTAAAAAAATGTTATCTTGATTCCTTATTCTTCTGGTAAGGTTCGCCATAGAAGGCAATCATATTTAAGGCAATCAAGAAATCATTGTTACAAATAATGTGATAATAATTTTTACTTTTTCTACTGGCATCTGACCAGGGTTAATCTTCCTGTGGATTTTTGTTAAATGGGAAAACGGTAGATAAACAGAAGCAGAGCTATAGAAATAGATATACGGAAGATATACACAAATATATAAATCTTGCTGGACCAAAAGAATAAGAATTGTGATGCTGACACCAGTCGTTAAACCTGTTGAGTGTTGCCAATTAATTTACTTGCATTTCTGAAAATATATTATCATCAAGCAGAGTAAAAGGGAACCATTACTGAGAGAGGACACGATCCTGCAAATCTCCTTCATAATTTGGCTGTGCAGGGCTCTCTGGTCAGGACCCAGCAGAGCCCATTCCTCTTCAGTGAAACTGAGTCCTGAGAGGGAGAGGGGGAGAAATGCTTCCTTGCAAATGTCAAAATAGACCGGCCTACAAGCAAAATCCCAAAGCCTTGTTAAGGGGAGGTGAATGGGCATTACCCTCAGGATTAATATACATTGGTACCTTGGTTCTCAAACTTAATCCCATTCCGGAGGTCTGTTCCCAAACCAAAGTATTCCAAAACAAGGTGCGCTTTCCCATAGAAAGTATTGCAAAAGGCATTAATCCGCCCCAGACTTATGAAAACAACCCCTAAAACAGCAATTTAACATGAATTTTACCATCTTACGAGACCATTGATCCATAAAATGAAAGCAATAAACAATGTACTGCAATCACACGATCAATCAGTCGGTAGCTGAACTGGGTTCCATACAGTCACAAAAACAAAACAAAAAGAGCCGCAAAAACAAAAATGCAAAATAAATAGCAAACAGACAGACCTCAGCGTAACACTCAAAACAGAAGTGTAACACTCACAATTGAATCAAGGCACTCAAAACGGAGCACATCCGGCTTCCCCAAAAAGTTTGCAAACTGGAACACTTACTTCCGGGTTTGCGGTGTTTGGGTTCCAAGTTGTTGGAGTACCAAGGCGTTTGAGAACCAAGGTACCACTGTAGAGGCTGGAGAAGCTTTTTCCCCCACCTGGGAGCCTCTTTCCATTCTAGACAATATTGGGGGCAGATCCAGAGGCAAAATTTGCTACCTCCATCCAAGGAAACAACAGGCATGATCAGAGTCAAGGGCACATTTCGGCTAGGCAAAACACTCAAGGAGTGTCTTCTGTGTTGCTGGGAAGGGGGTGGTGGCCTCGGGAGAGTCTCAAGGGCCAGAGAGAGGCTTGGAGGGCCGCAGTTAGTACCCCCTACCATGAGGCCTGAGGTTCCCCACTCCTGATTCAAATCTTCATGAGTGGCGTTGACAGCCTTCCTAGTGGGTAGCAAGATAGCGGTACTGGCAGGGTCCCCGGTGCTGATTCCCTCTACCTGATTGGTGACCCAGAAAGAGCTTGTCCTCCATCCCCAAGGAGAGATGGCTGAGTACAAATTGTCAGCACGGTTTCATCACCTGCGAGAGACAAAGAGGTCAGGAATGTTGGAAGGTCAACAGCAGGGATCATGCAGTTTATCAGCTAAGGGTTAAATCTGGTGGTGTTTAAAGAGAGCTGGCCAAGAGGGGTGGGCGGAGCTGCTACTTAGCAACCAAGCAGAGCGGCATGACCTTCACTGAGGAAACGTGTGCTCGGATTGACTGGGTGGTTCTGAGGGAGCTTTCTTCTGCTATGTTTGGATGAACGTCTCCCTGCTTTTGCTTGTTTTTTCAGGAAAGTGATATCGGCTCTTTTCACAGTAGCACATGCTTGTCACGTAGACAAGAAGTTTGGGGTCAGTTTAACACAGGGGTCAGCAACCTTTTTCCCACCAGATGTCAAAGAGAGCAACAACTACCAGACTTTTAGAAGACATCTGAAGGCAGCCCTGTCTAGGGAAGCTTTTAATGTTTGATGTATTAGAGTATTTTAATATTTTTTTTGGAAGCCGCCCAGAGTGGCTGGGGTACAAATAATAAAGTATTATTATTATTATTATTATTAGCCATGGGTCGGTCCACCATCCCTCAGACCATGTGCTGGGCCGGACTATATTGGGGAGGGGGGTAATGAATGAATTCTTATGCCCCACAAATAACCCAGAGATGCATTTTAAATAAAAGCACACATTCTACTCATGCAAAAACACCAGGCAGGACCCACAAATAACCCAGAGATTCTTTTAAAAATAAAAGGACACATTCTTCTTCCTTTTTAAAATTAATATTCTTTATTGATTAAAAAATTACATGTCTGTACAAACATTATGTACTATCTCTTAAAAGGAAAAAAAAAGAAAATTAAATAAAATAGAAAATTTATAAAGAAATAAAAAATAAAAAATGAAGTAGCAAAGATAAGAAACAAAGAAATAATAATAATAATAAAAGACAAAGTCCTGGAGTGTCCGCGGGCCGGATTGAGAAGGCGATTGGGCCGCACCTGGCCCCTGGGCCTTAGGTTTGCCTACCCATGGTTCAGCAGATGGATGGCCTTATTTCATATGTCCCCTTGGATCCTGCAACCTGAGGGACTGGCACTCAGACAAGTGCCACATCATGTTCATCCTGAACTTGCAAGGAGCCATTCTTCTGGTAGAAGGTGCCCCATCTATGCTTACTCCGTAAGGCGGTTTCTCCGTCACCTTCCTGATTGATAGGCCACCACAAGGAACGTTTCCTTGGCCTCAGAGAAATCTCCTCCTGCCTCTGCAGTTTGTTCCTTTACCTGAAACAGCAATGAGGACTAGGATCAAAAAGAAAATTAGGGGGCCGCTAGGGGCGCATTGGAAGATGGCTGACAATACCATCTCTCCAGCTCACACGAGGTAATTAAGAGGCTGATATGGGAGTATGCAACCTCCCTTGTTACCCCAAGGAAATGGGGAACACTGCCTTGCCTGCAGTTGCCATAAATCACCCTCAGATTCGAAAGAAGGGGGTGAGGGGACTAGGCACACAGCCCTCGGAGACGGCTCTCCCTGAA